CATATACAGTATTATACAAAAATACTGTTCCGGCTTACATACAAATTCAACTTAAGGACACACCTCAGGAATGGAGCTCGTTCTTAAACTCGGGACTACCTGTACTTAAAAATTCAAAATATACAATATAAATGATAGGAGTATCTTTCTTGTCCAAATAACTTCTGAGTGAAGTGTGGATATATTTCCTTAGTATACTGTGATAGGCCCATTGTTCAGCTGTCCTCTTTGCAGATAGAAGGATTCCTTAGGCCTTTACTGCTTGCTTGTTTGTAAATGCAGATCTGTGCATGTTTGTTTGCTCTTCGACTATTCTGCCTGCTTTTTCTGCATTGCCTTGCCACCAATTTATAAGTATCTCCATAAAAATGAATCCATGATTCTACCTTTTCTTTGGTCACAAAATGCTTGCAATCCACACAGTATCTGAGATTGGATGAACAACTTTTCTTGCTTGCTTTGATCTAACAAATGCCTTCTTCATTTCAAGGAGAAACCATTTGCTTGCTGTATTATGCCTGCAGACAAAGTAATGTACAATGAAGATGGAAAACACAACTTACAAAAACTGACTTTTGCCTATAAGGTATTTTAACAGAGGCCCTTAAACATTCTTCCTGGAAAATGTTACCTGCATCTTACTAAGGAATTATCAGTGAGGACATTCGGGATCAGTTTTTCCAGTGCCCCCTCCAAAGATAATTTTAGGAGTAAATGTCCCAGTATTTGAGAGAAACATTATGAAATTAGCATTTCTTCTAATTTCTTCTATCTAACTACAAAAATAGTTTTTATGGAAAAGTGAAATATTTAAGATATTAAATATTAAATGCCATAGACTTACTGCAATTATCACTATTTTAAAAGTGGGCATTAACAATCCATATTTTTTTAGATACTGTACGGTTTCTATATAAGTATATATAAATAGAGAGACAGATTGGTGTATTGGTTAAGCACCTGGCCAAAAAATAGAAGACCATGAGTTCTACTCCCACCTTAGTCACCTACCTGGGTGACTTTGAGCCAGTCACTCTCTCAGCCACTTCCAAAAATCTTGCAAAGAAAACTTCAGGGACTCATCCAGGTAATCACCAGAAATTAACACTGACTTGAAGGTATATATTCTTAATCAGTGTAATACTTGCAAGATACAGTTTTTCTATTTCTTGCCCCATCTAAATGGAAGACACCCCCCTGTCCCCTTCTGCTTGTATTTGCAAGACAGGAGAGGAACTATGCTAATACGTTCTTATAATTCTCACAGGCTTAAATTGGAGATAAGAAACTGTTGGTTAAGCAGTCTGATTTCATTGTTTGCAAGTAACATAGGAAATACTACATAACATTATATAGGAAGAAAGAGAAAGACACCTTCTTACTTTCCTTAGGTCCTTGGGATGGATTTTTCCTGTTGACCAGATCTTTTATTTTGTTTCTTCCCTGCAAACCTGTTTTTAACCTGTTATCTTGGCAAGCATGTCTTGAGCTTTGAATTGATACGCATATATATTTCTGTGTCAGACCCTTAGAGATAACTGCTTGAAAGCTTTATATTCATGTAGTTTGGCCTTGTTGCCATTGCCCTCTCTAGGTTATTTGTCTCAAACCAGAATAGAAAATAAGCAAGCTCAGTCTTGTTTCTTTATAATAAATATTTGTGATTAGTTAAGCTGACATCACATTTAAAAAAAAAAAAAACCCTCTTACGTCCTGTTAGCATTCTAGAGGGGGTCTTCACAATTGGATTTTCCTGTTGCTGTGGAATATGAAGAATTCTGGGGTAGAGGTCACTGTGTACAGCTGTTTAGATCACTGGAATATATGTAGCTGATGCTGTAGTTGATAGTCAGGATGAGTGTCCCCTCTCATGCACAATGATCTGTATTTCATTCTTTATCAATTTAAGGTGACCAGTGAGACTTCATGACCCTTCTTTAGAAGGCAGATTCTGCGAGGATGTTACATCACCATTGCCGGAGGAACCCTGAGCTACAGGAAGAGTTGCAGATTCAGGCAGCGGTGGCTGCTGGGGATGTTCACACTGTGCGCAAAATGTTAGAGCAGGGGTATTCTCCAAATGGCCGAGATGCTAATGGCTGGACCTTGCTCCATTTTTCAGCAGCAAGAGGGAAAGAAAGATGTGTTCGTGTATTTCTTGAACATGGAGGTTAGTTGACTTAACAGAGGAATTTATGGTTGATTAAACTTTTCAAACCTTCTCATTGAATTCTTTGGTTCCCTTTTTTAAACAGAAATTTCCCTTTTTTGCTGTTGGCCCCGCAAAAAGATCTGGGTAAAATTTAATTTCTAATTTTTAGATCTCCAATAGTGCTTTGAAAGGAAAAACCAGCTGTGTGACTTCAGAGTTGACCACAAGATGGCACCCTTTTGTTATGTGATTTGAATTTTGTACCCAAAGAAAAATTAACTCATTCGAGAACTTCATTTTGCATGGACTGCTTCTAGCAGATGGTTAACTTCTTACTCTATATTATAAACTAAATTGTGATTAAATTTATAATCTAAATTTATATGTTCTGACATATAAAGTCATTCTTAAGTCTAGGGTACTAACTACTTCTAACAAATACATATAAATGTATTTGTAATAGTAGAACAAAATGAAGGCGAGAGTAAGTTCATGGAGAGAGCAGTTGAGCTTCATAATTCAGTTTTGCTAAATTAATTGCCATATGGAATTGTCACTGTTCTGGCAATAGCATTTACCTTTGGGTTTCTCATTGATTTCTCAATATCTATTAGGGTCTATTTCTCTTTGCTTTAAGTTGCGTTTGTAAAAAATAAAACATAAGTCTTCCAAAGGTATAAGAAATAGAGATTCTGCTCTTTAATCTCTGCATCTTTCCCTTAAATTTTATAAATGTCCCATTTATAGATGAATAGGTCGTTGGGGTTACTGATTATACAACTGGGGGTTTGAAGAGGAGGTCTGGGTAGCAAAATATACTTCCGCAGAGAACTGTGGCTCTACATATACAGAAATTGCATATAGGTAAAGGCGGGTATTCCACTTGGGTTTTATTAACAGAACTTTGTCCTACACAGGTATAATCCTAAATTATTCTTTAAGATTTGTATGGCAACACTTAACCAATTTTGGCTGATCTTGAAAGGCTAATGTAGTTGGACCTGGTTAGTATTTGGAAGGATGACCCCTGAGAAATGCTGGTTGTAAAACACTGGAAATTTTTTTAAAAGTCCTGGAAGTAGGCAGTGGCAAATTATTTCCATGATATTGCCAGAAAGGACATGATTCATTGATGTCACCTAGACTTAAATTTAACTCAAAAGATATTTTATCTTTTGGGTAGAGTGTCATTTTTAACAATCATTCTCATGCTGAATGTGACCAGAAGATGGCAGGGTAGTGCTTCCAATATTTTCAGATGCTCTTTGATATCTCTGATATCCAGTGCTATTTAAGTTCAGTATTTGCCGCAATAGTATGTACATTTGGCTGGGTTTAGTTGATGTGGTGTTGGCTGGGCATAGCTGATGTGGTATTGTCTGTCAGACTGATTTTCAGATTGAAGGAATATTTTTCACATTTACTTCTGAGCATTTCAGAATTCTCTGTAAAGCATAGCACTTCTAGATATGACCTTACATGGGCCCTTAGTTTACCCAGGACAATGTTAAGTTTCTTTGGCACCTTGATATTTTACTGTGACTGAACTTTACAGAGCTAACTCAGTAGTGTTAACTCAAGTGTTCTTCATAATGAGTATTCCTGATGAAAACAGTTGAGTATTTCAAACCATTAGTATCTATAGCGTATTTTGCTCAAGCCTGGGGCCCGAGTGTGTGAAGGGACCTGTTTCCTGGCTATGCAGATGATTATTGTGGTTTTCTCAGCTTCTGTGTATTTTAGTGTATGTGTCTGAGTGTATACATATACATAAACACACTGTTTGCCACACCTAGAGTCATTTGTTGAGATGGGTGGATGTTTGTCTCTCATGAAATTAGGTTTCTTCTCTTTTCCATTTGATTTTTTACACAAATTATTTTTATATTGAATTTACCCTTACTAGGCGTAATTAGATCATTTAATTTTCCAGATTCAGGTATTCTTTAGCTTCCTCAATGATTTTTAAACTGTGGAGTCCTTGGTGCTCTCTGAGCTTGGTTGTTAGCTTGCAGACATTTTGTTACCCAACTAGATAGCATCTACTGATGATGAGAGCATTAAGGACTCCACAGTTCAACCCTGAGCTACGTATATTCTCTTCTATTGGATTTCTAAACTTCTTGACTGTAAATTCTGATAAGTGATTGTTCAGGGGCCACCTCACCTAGATCCCATCTGATCAGCCAGGCTTTCCTCTTGGTCTAAATTGTTCTCTACTCCCTTTGAAGTAACTCAAGATAAATAGATTTACAACTAAGTGGTATTAAATTTAACTACAGAGGTTCTTTTCATCTGTGAAAAAATGCGAACAAAAGCAATGAAGTTACTGACCTTCACTGGTCTCACAGAGAAATGTTTTATAGGTGCAAAAACTAGTTTATTTAAAGAGGGGGAAAGCTTTCAAACAAGATGAATTCTAATTTGCAGTTAATCTGTACAAAAATTGTTAATACACGTTATTTTCTTTAGCTATAAAATAGGGTTGTGATTTTAATAGTCTTGTCACCATCTCAAAAGCAAATTTAACCACTTGCTGAAATAGAGAATATTTCTAATAAAATGTTCCATCAAACAGAAGTTTGCTTATTTAAATTTACTGTATATCCTGTCTCTCTGCCTATTCAGGGTTGGGATCTCTTCTGTAATGTTGCATGATTGTGTTTGTATGCTTCCCTTGCCAAGGTTTTATATCACTTTTTATATTCGAATAACATTAGCAGAAACAGGAAGAATTGAGTGCCAGGTACCATGTAAATTGTGCACGCACAAAAGTAGTGATGGTTATTTGAGTGTGACAGGAAGATATTAGATCTATACATCTGGTAATTTTTAAACTATTTTATGAATCCAGATTTCTATGGGAGGGGGAATATCCCAGCTATTGCTCTTGAAATGTTGACATTTTGCCCTATCCTTCTTTCCCTTCTTCAAAATTAGATGTTTACATTCTTGCAAATCTCAACATTTTGTGAAATTGCAAAGCCAGGTTATTTTCATTTTATAGAAAACAGTTTTTATCAAGATGATCTGAAATAACACATAGCTTATATGCTTTGGAAATGCATAGACCACAGAGGGCTTTCTTTACCTTACACAGAATTAACCCCCTAAAACAAGCTCATCTTGCCAGACCACAATACATCCGTATCTTAGGCCTGCAGATGTTGCTACAGATGCTTCTCTTTAAGACCAAGAAGCACAAGGGAAAATAAAACACTGAACGAAGCATGAAATGTTAGAGCTGAAGGGGCTAGGGTGGGTGGAGATATCTTGAGAAGTTGGATTTAAAATTCATAGTGATGGTTGGGTTGGGAGACTTGAGTGCATGAACAACTGTATAGTAAATATTCATTTTTTCTATGTTTTTTGACCAAAATATAATCACAGAAAAAAAATTAGTTACTCAATTCATCCAAATTTTATTGAATTCACTTTGCTTTGGAATTCTTGCCGATAAATGAGTGTTCTGCATTACCTTTTGTATGAAACTTTGTATGAAAATATTTTAAATTCAGCACATGATTCAAAAGCATGCCCATTTTTGAAATTTTGCATTTTTCAATATTGAAATTTTAATATTTAAAAATATAGATCCTTAGTGCTTATAAAGCAGCTTTCAATATGAGCAATATTGCTTAATTTGGAAGATGCAAACTCCCTACCACATGTACACGCTGATGTTTTGGTAATATTACAAAATCTTTTGTATCAGTGGAGTTGGAAAGAAGTATGTAAAAAAATTGATGGTGGATGGCAGTAATTCTCCAGTTATTTTGTAATACCTATTGAAGAATTTGGTTTTGTGTCAAGTAGATAAAATGAACAGTGTATCATACTATAAAAGTACTAACATAGGTGAAAGAATCGGTGAATTGATAAATTTCAAGTCTATTGGGAAAGATGATTTTATAAATTAACCTTATGGAAAAAAGTTCTATTTTAAATTGCTGTTTTGTGTGCTTTTAATGATAACTAACTTCTTGCACTTTTTAAAACTTCAGCGGATCCCACGGTGAAAGACTTAATTGGTGGCTTCACTGCTCTACATTATGCAGCTATGCATGGCCGAGCCCGGATTGCACGCCTGATGCTGGAATCGGACTATCGTGTTGATATTATTAATGCAAAGAGTAACGATGGTTGGACTCCCCTGCATGTGGCAGCTCACTATGGAAGAGACTCCTTTGTCCGACTCTTGCTGGAGTTCAAGGCTGAAGTTGATCCACTTAGTGACAAAGGTACTACTCCACTTCAGCTTGCCATTATTCGTGAACGGTCCAGCTGTGTCAAAATTCTCCTAGATCACAATGCCAACATTGACATTCAAAATGGCTTTCTGTTACGCTATGCTGTGATCAAAAGCAATCACACTTATTGCCGGATGTTCCTTCAGAGAGGAGCGGATACGAACTTGGGGCGCTTGGAAGATGGACAGACACCGTTGCACTTGTCTGCTCTTAGGGATGATGTACTCTGCGCGCAGATGTTATACAATTATGGTGCAGATACTAACACAAGGAACTATGAAGGACAGACTCCGTTGGCGGTTTCAATAAGTATATCTGGAAGTAGCCGACCTTGTTTGGATTTCTTACAGGAAGTAACAAGTATGTATACTGGAAATCTTTTATCAAAATTTCCAGTAGATTTGGGGGCGGTGGCTATTAATAGAATGGTGGGTGTAATCCAAACTTTCCAGGGAATTGAGTTCTGCTCATGGATGCTTGGGGGAAATTTTTCATAGATTATTTCTTCCCTCTACAGCACCTATGTTGTCCCAGAATCTTCTCTAAACTTTTGAACAGGGGTGTGCACTTTATCTCAGTAGCTGTACTGCAAAAAGGGGCTGGGTGCCATAAAAGGAGAAAGATTTTTAGACTGGGTGGGATTTCTGGGTTGGAAGGAAGGGGAAAGTGAAAGGCAGAGAAAAAGCAAGAGAATCTAGGAACGGACAAAGGAGCTGCAATACAAATGAAATAACAGAGAGGTGGCAGTAGTCTGTCTTATGGATAGGAAGAGGTTATAGTTCTTCAGTGCCTCTGAAATTTGGTGGCTGAATCTGGGGGATTTCAGGGGCAGTATGTGATCCACTGATGCTATCGATTACCATTTGGGCTGGGGTGTGGAGATGAAGAGGACTGCTGGAAGAAGAAGTAAAAATGATGTTTTTCATCAGGAGACATCACTGGGTTAATGCCTACAGTGAATCCCTACAGGTCCCTTCAGGTTATGGAAGGGCATAGATCCAGTCCACTCAGTTTTGTAGCTTATTTTTTGATTATTTAGGATGCCTCGTAGAAAACCATTTCTTTTTAAAGGCCCTGTGTCATTTTCTCTTCAGCACTGGGCTAGAGATGAAATACCCTAATGTTTAAAATAATCCTGTTTTCAACCACTCTTTGGGTCCCTTAGTATATATTAATGTATTCTAAACTGATAAAATGAAGCAATCAATATTATCCATTATTACTGTGCCACCAATAATAGATAGATATTCACTATCAGAATGGGTTTCACCAAATGAATGTCTCTTTCAGCCGGCTCAGATTCCTCTTTATTCTTGCTTTCTGCTTTTTAATATGTTGAGATGGCTGATCCCATTGGAAGAATAGTAAGATGAAACATATGATAAACAGCAGGGCCAGAACTCCTTTAACCAGACCATATCATTCCAGTCAGCCTGTGATCATATACATTGTGGAATGATGCCATCCTTCTGTCTTGCTGAAAAATGTGTAAGGCGTAACAAGACAGTTTGTCCCATATTTCCAGACTTGGTTGAGGTATGAATAGGGCCAAATTTAGATTATTTAAAAAAGGTCATAAATAGGTTTTGTTAAATATGACAAAGGAAGAAGCAGTAGATATCCAAATAATCAGTATTCTACTTTATTTGACCATCTAGGTGTATTGATTTTAAATACAAAAGCTTGCTAATGCAAATGTAAAATCAGGCATTGTTTTAGCATCTGAACAAACTTCAGGTTTCTATATTCTCCTTCTCATTTCTTCCCAGAGCTTCTCTCTCACAGCATATCGCAGTTTACTGATAGATATGAATCTATAAACCATGTTGTTTCACATAAAAAAAGAACAGAGTAGCCCACATCTTTTATGTACTATAAAACCAGTTTTTGCTACATCTAAAGTTAGGGTTAACATGAGTCATTATTTTCTCTTCCTGTATTTAGTATTTTAAAATTATTTAATGAGCATCTCATAGAACTTTTGCCAAAGTTTTCTGCTGTTAAAAATATAGGAGAAAAATGAAATCATACATAAAAAATGGTACTCATAGGAATGGTGTATATCTGGTCAGCATCACATGTACTTAATTGCTAGTCCGTCCTATTAAAGTTCCACATCATTTTGCATTTTTTCTAATATGAAAAAAACAGATCGTTGTATATGTATGCAAGTTTGCCCTAGAAAGTGCGAGTTTGTTCTAGTGCGTACATGTTTGAACATAGCATTTGAGCTAAGAAATATTTTGGGAGAAAAAGCAGCATGTTTCCATTTGTGCTGACTGAGAGTTCTAGGAATTTTAGCCCAACAAATCTGGAAAATGCCAGGTTGGAAAGATCTCCCTGTGCTTTATTGAAGCCATGCATTCACTTTCAGTTTAGAAACTTGAAGCATTTTCTCTTTGTTTTCAACTAAACAGTGTATTTTTCTGGCTATTTTGATTTTTGGGATTTGGAAAGTAAAGAATTTTGGGGTTTATATGCAGTACTCTTCTCACTAAAAAAATTGCACGTGATTGGTAACACATTTTTAGGCTATATACTTTTCTTCAAATCCTTTTTCTGCAATTTTTCTTCCTATTTCTTAGAATTTACTGATTTCATATTCAGCACCATTCTATATTTAGTTTTTTTTGTTTTTTGTTTTACTGCACATATAAACCTACTTTTAAAAAATGGTTGAAACAGATTTTCTGCTGCCTAAATTTACACATATTCAGATTCCTTAATTTAGTGAAACAACAAATACCTCTAAATTATAAATTGAACTTTATATTGTTTGAGGCACTAACTGATGTTATATTAAGGTGATTATGAATATATCCAGTGTTAGATGTGAATCTCTGCTCATGCAAGAAGATGTAATTTAGCTCTTCCTCCATCTTCCAGTGTGTGCCCCAGCTCTGGTATCTCCCTCTTCTGGAGTAGATATGAAAGGCACAGAAGATATATTAAGTAGAGAAAGAAAATCTCTTTCATTGGTGCATGCATTCTGCCTATAGAATAACATCTTCAAATATAGTTCCCTACTAGAATTCAAAAGTTAGTTTCAATACAACACAGAACAGATTTCATATATAAATTGATATTAATAATATTTTATCAATATTCCTCTTTTTGATGAGATGGGGACTTACTGAACTCCTTTTTTTTCAGTTCTCTGTTATAGATTCTTAATATTTTTTGCTTTCTTTTTTGTATTATGCAATGCTTTTCTATATTGTCATGATTCCCATCTGTTCCTTTTCCTCCCCTTCTGTGCCCAGTATCTACATTGCTTATTCTGCTGTATCTAACGGGCGGTGGTATGCACGGTCCTGACTATCTTTTGTACTTTTTTTAATAATTAGAACACAATGCCATACTTTTACTTTTCATAAATTCCTAAAGGTGGCTGAATTAAAAGCTCACATCTCTCATATTCTGTTCCACTGACTCCTTCTCTCTTGATTTTGAGTCTTGCTTTGCTTAATTTGTTCAGTTTATAATTTTACCCTACTAGTATGCTCTTTCTGCACTCGTGCACAGTCTTCAACTGCTCTTGCACTTCCCTGAGAATCCGCCAACGATGAATTACTTCATATTCTCTTTCCTCTACTTGCTAAAATCACCAATAACGTAGTGTTAAGTCTGGCTAGAGCAAAAGCTAATCACTAAGATAGTGAGATATAAAATAAGCTGCCAGCTTGAAGCTCTTGTTAACACCCAATAAAGAGGAGCATTTTGGGATGACACTCAGTCTCTAATCACTTTCTTAGCCTTCTTTAAACCTAAAAAGTTATGTTTTTCCAATAGGGCTCTTTCCAATTTATTTCTAAAGCTCTTTGGCAGAACAAATGGAGTTAACCCAGCTATGGCAAAAATTTAGTTTTATGAAAAGAGTAAAACAGTCAAATGATGCTCTGCCTTCTATTGTTTCTAATAACATTTCTAAATGCAAAGCAGCATTAAGTATATACTTGGGCACAGCTAAAGTTGATTATTCAGTCTAAATTTTTGTAGTCTGTGATGGATCATAAACTTAAAACTGAACCATCATTTATGAGCTGCAGCACTACCTTAGCTTCAAAAATTTAAAGTGTTGTGGGGATAAATGCCTGTTCCCCAAATATTTGCATAATAACACTCCTCAGTGCATTTTCAACTGAGCCTTTAATGTGTGCTTTCCATATACGGAAGTTGAATAATTGACAATTATCTTCACTATTTATGAACAATCATTCAATATCTGAACGACCAATCTGAGAAATTTTAGAAAAATGGAAAATGCATCCTTTTCATATCTTTCTGAGCTGTGCTGAAGTCATAATATACAGACCCTGTATGGGTAAAAGTAGACATCTATTAATGGGGGATTCTTCTAGTTTCTTCCGTAGTGGGACATCAAACTGAGAGCTGTTTTAAAACCAACAAATGCCATTTATAGGGATGTCTTAGCTCTGGCTGTGTATTTTTGGTTAAGACTTAACATTAGGCAGTGGCCTTTAGACTCTTGGCTGACTCTAAAGTCTGCTTGCTCATCAGCTATGCAGATCTCTTGTCCCAATCAGTCTATCAGTTTTCAGCAGAAATGACAGGCATATAGTTTGCTGATGTTGCTTTTCAAGTTCATGAGTATATAATCTCCATTTTTATACATAAGAATCACAATTGCCTACACTCAGTCCTTCATGATTTCAACTGTTTGGTCAATAATAGGCCTTTCTTCTACTGAAAAAGAGGTATGCCCAGATAGAGATATGGTAAAAGTTAAATGTGGTCTAGCAATTAAAAGACAGCTATACTTTCTAGGGGGTAATAAATAGCGTCAGTTGATACATTATTAGACTGCACCCTAAAAATAAAGCTGATATTTGGGAAAAATACATTGTAGCAGAATGGAATTTTTTAAAAAAATGTAGAGAATCTACCAAAATGGTCTCTTGAAGGTGGTCAGTTTAATGAGGCATTTGAAACCAAGGAAGGGTTTCACACTTCCAGTGTGAGTGGTGGCTGACTGAAGACATCTCCATGAATGACAACCACTGAGAAGAACAAAAGACTGCGAGTAGCCCAGTCCTTCAAATTTCTCCAGAGAAGGAGAGATTGGGAGATTGCCCACAAGTGCTCTGAATGGCAGCTCCTCGCAAGAAAACCATAAAGCAGTGGTCTTCTGCAGGTTTGAGTGCCAGGAACTGAAGGAGAAGACATGTTTGCTCTCAGCAGCAGCAGAGCCTTTCATAAGGACACTAAGCCAGCCAAACTCATTTTCTAATCACTTTTGGAAATTTTCAATTTAACCACTTTATGGATATTAGAGACCCTCAAAACGGCAAGCTTTGGCAATGCCAGGTGTCATAATGGCAAATTATGACACCTGGTGA